CACAATTCTAGAAAAATAATCTCTGCTTACTTCATTTATTTTTATTTCGAACAAAAACAGCAATCCAGTCCGGTCAGTACAAAATGCAGACTGCTGACTGCAGACCGGGTACAAAATGCAGACTGGGCACAAAATACAAACTGTAGACTGGGCACAAAATACAAACTGCAGACTGCAGACTGGGTAAAAAATGTAGACTGCGAATTTATTCTGTTTTTTCGTCTGATTCGTGATAATATGTCATCCTACAACTTACCGAGCGTCACGAAATCGCGCTTTCCCGCGACCATCTTTCACGATTATTTGCACTATTGTCAGGCTGCCTGCACTATCGTGGAATATTTCTTGCCCGTTTCTTGATCAAAATCGTTCTTAATATAATTTCAAGCCTTCATATAGTCTTCTCACTTTGCGCGCGAGTTGGTTGGTGTGATGTCTGAACAGAATTTACCAACTTAGTAAAAGTAGATGTAGATGTAAATGAGATGTCACTATTGAATATTTAACACGCGCAATATTCTAGAAACAATTGACAGCTTTGCACGTGGTCCGTATCTTTCATCCTTTCAACCGATATGTGTTCATTTTGTTGACAAAAATGCGGACCGAGACCAAAACTGTTCCTTCGACTTGAAATATTTTCAACGTTTAGGGGTGTACACACACTGATTTTCACATATGTGCTTTATATTTTTATTGGCTTACAAGAGGAACCAGTGAATTTTTATTGGGAAAAGCGAAGCGTTACTATCGTGACTGGCCATTTGTTTACTTTTCTGACGGTTTTATCCTTCATCTGTTCTGTGACTACGCAAATCTTAGTAAGTGAAAATCAGACGATAGGAAGGCTTAAAATTATATTAAGAACGATTGAGGCCGCTTTGTTAATGACCAAATGCAATGGCCGCTTTGTTAAAACAAAAGATATCAAGAAACGGGCAAGGAGTATTTCACAATAATGGAAATGATCGTAAAAGAGCAATATGTGATGCCTGATTAAGCCAAACCCAGCCCACCCTTCACCCCACAAACACACACACACCAACAAAAAGGACACTGTCCACCTAATGATCTTTGCCCATCCCACCTCCAGCCCACACAAGTTTTTTTTCCAATTCCCATCCCGACGAATGCAAAAGTTTTCTTATCACAGCTCTCACACGCTTGGTGTAAATTCACTACTTCACTGAATATTTCCCGGGTGATATTCGTTATTTGTTTATAGAATATATGAGGGCATACAACCACATTACTTCTTGATCAGTTGAGATTCCCTAGTGAGGTTTCTCCTGCGAAGACACGGGCTTGTGACATGGTGTTT